CAGTAGAGAGAGAGAAGAGGGGACGAGTTGATCTTCTAGAACTTCCGGGCGGGTGAGAATAGCCACTTTCTTTCTTTTTTGTGCTATAGATAGGGCCTAACATAATTTTTTTCTTTGTTTTTGTCAAACTGATCATCCACACCCATAGACAGTGTTCAGAAATTCATAGCCTACTCTTCAACAAAGAGTTGATTGTTAATACTTTACTTTCCTAAGAGTAAGCACTTAGTTAGATCTAGATCTAGTAAGAGAGGGTGGGGGGTGGGACCATTATCTATCCCTCAATATAAATTCAGACCGAATACATCTATTTCATGCACTGACTTTGAAAGGTGTAGACCTAGTCTTCAAGTGTAGACTAGAACTAGATATTAGATCAACGAAATACAACCTAAAATTAAAGATGAAAATGAAGGCGAAAATGAAACTAGCAGGACAGGAGGGGAGGAGAGCTTTCTGACTGAAACCAAGATTCTTTGTATTTCTAAGACCATGATATATGACATGCTATTACCATTTTGAGAGGGACTGATCTCTCAAAGTTCCACAGTACATATTATCCTTAAAAAAATACACATGTCATCAAGATCTAGAATATATTATTGAACTATTGCAATGCTTGATCATTGATGAGATTTTGTTTACAGCGGCATTTTGAGCAGTGGTTTGCTTGCATTTATTTTGCACGACTATCCCAGATTATCTTGAATTTTCCATTTTGGGATCTAGCGCCCGCCAGTCCCCTGCCTCACATGGGCGCTCGCATATGTAGGCTACATTCACCTACACATGGGCACAAAATCATTCACAAACACATAGATCTAGAGATTTTAAAACGAAGAAAAATCAAACAATTAGACGCATAAGCAAAAATATTCCTCTTGTTTACGAAAAATACGTCACAAACTCCGCTGTTTTCACCTTTGACACTGAAAAAGCAGCCAAAATCTAGCAATCTAACGCTCGATCTGGGCTATAGCTTTCTTTCAGTCGGTCAAAGCACATATCACCGAAAGAAACGTTACGGCAGATCTTGGTGCTTCTTTCATGTTAGGCTTTGTGTCTGTGGTGCTAGAATTCTTTGGAGAAAAAAAAGAAGAAAAAAACAAAACAAAATACAGAACAAAACAAAAACAACAAACAAACAAACAAAAACAACAAACGAACAAACAAAAACAATAAACAAAACAAACAAAGACAACAAAACAAAAACATTAAAAAACACAAAAACAAAACAAAACAAACGCAGTCACAAATTATTAATTGACGAGAGAGTACAGAGAAGAAACTTGACACACGGTCATTTTATGTTTGGAAAGAGTAAGGAAGGCAGATAGTTGGAAACAACAGAAAGAAATAAAAGAAGAGGGACCATCCTGTGGCGCAATCCAATCATCCGCGGTATAGCTGACACCGTTGAATCATTTTACAAAACCTAAAGTACACATTATAATCATTCAGCTTTATGAATAGATGGCGATCCTGGTTTCTTTTCCTGTCCCTCTGCCCTGCCCCCCCCCTCCCCCAAATTTCACCCCATATTCTATAGATAGACTATAAACTAGCATCTACGAGTTTCAAAGCTCTAAGAACCAACTCCCCACCCTATGACAGTCTGCTTGTCCTTACCATCCACTAAAAAGGAATTAGATCATCTAGTGCAAATTTGCTTTCAACACCCCGAGCACAAAACGGGATTTCACATTCTAATGGACCCATTAGTATTGAGCGCGTTGTCTAGATCTAAGGAGCAAATATCTGCCATTACAATTTAGAAACCTTCAAAAGAAATCTCAAAGCTCATCTTTTTTCTTCTTCCTGAAATACCACAGTTATGCTATTGTAAGCTGAGGTGACGCTTTTAACTGTCTGTTAATTATTATGTTTCTGTATAAGAAAGGTAAAGTGACTGTGTGCTTACTCGTGTACGTATGTCTCTCTGTGTGTGTGTGTGTGTGTGTGTGTGTGTGTGTGTGTGTGTTTGTCTGTGTGTGTGTATATGTGTGTGTGTGTTTGTGAGTGTGTG